ATAGAGATGCTAAGGCACTGTCACCCTGTGGTTGGATGCTATTGTGGTCGAATAGTATTGGGACGAGCTTGGTGGATATATCGGGGTGAACAGGGGAGAGAGCTCTTCTTCCCAGCCAGAAAAGGAACCAGATAAATGATTTCCCAGAGTGACAGAAATAGTCATGTTTTAAAGGCTGCACTATTCATGAAAGTTAGTCAAGAAATCAAAAAAAAGCTTCTTTTGTTATTTACTAGCCTGGTGACAACTCTCCAAGTGTTTTTATTTTAAAAGGAGGAAGTTCCCTCTGGTGCCCCTCCCCCCCCCGGCCAAAACCCCCAGCAGTTAATACACTTAATGTCAATAAATGAACTAAGTAAGAAGCTGTCCATGCAGTACCAAGGCTTAATGTTTCTTTTGCATCCTTCAGAAAGTTACCATTCAGTTCAGATGTGATTTCACGCTTTTCTGCAATTTTTGTGCAATGTAAACCTTGCACTGTTGCCTCCCTAGGTTGCAATTTTTTGTTTTTTGATTTTTTGGGTTTTTTTTCCCCACTCTATCAAATGAGGCTGGACTCTCTTATAAATGTACAGATACACAGATTGTATTTTACACTGAGGTTTCAGCAGCACTTACAGAGGAGGAACTGAACGTTGCTGGAAGACAGTGGGGCCAGCTGAACACAGCTGTGTCGCACAGCGCTGTTACAGGAGCGGGGAACACGTGTGTGCTGCGCCCTGATGCCTGGAATCACAAGCGCTGCAGCCACAGAGCAGGGTGCCAGTGCAGCCTATGTGACATTTACTGGGATAATATTTTTAGGTCTCAGTTGTGAAGGTTTTCTTATTTCATTACTCCACTTTTAGAGTCCAGGGCATAGTGTAAAGAGACCCAATCTCTGATCCCACAGAGACTTACATATATACTTAACGTTATGATTTTGGAGTAATCTCACTGAAATTAGCGGGGTGCAACAGGTGGCAGTGGCAGTACCACAGTGATGAATGAGGTTCAGGCATTTTGCAGCAATAAGTGCAGTACGGAAGTTGAATATGGATCAGCTAAAAATATTCTGCACATCAAGTCAAACAGGTCTTCTGTACAAGCCTAACGCATGATGCCTTTGTCAATTATTAGCCCCATAAAATCAATCAAGGCCTCATGTGCCACGTTGGCGCTGACAGTGAGTAAAAGGTATAGAGCTTTTCTCACCTGTTGCTGCTGCAAACGCAGTCCTGCCAAATACTGACTGAAAATTGTTTCCATGTGATGATTAGTCCACAGCCAATCTAAGATAAGTTGGTGTCACAGAAGCCCTCTTAATAGCTGGCGTCTAGACAGTTGTGAGGCACAGAACAAAGGCCAAAGAATTAAATTTTTAAGTATCTTTTACTCTATATAAGTCCTGTATGCTGTTGTCGCCATATGGATTGCCACGTTTTCTGAGGTCATTGCATGATTTGCCTAAAATCTGAATTTTATGGTTTTTGCTCTCCTTGTTTTTTCCCTAAGGAGACAACTACATCTGCGGCATGTGGGCTTTTTAGACAGAGGTGTTTTTTAATAGGTACTACTGCTGTGGAGTTGTGTTAGAGAGGACAGTGGGGTGGCATGGTCTGTGACAATTCTTTGCTCCTGGGAGAAGTCGCAGAAGTGATCATCCAAAGCAGATTAATTTAAACTTTGTGTAAAGGACACTATTATGGTAGGAAGCCTCTGGGATCCTATTTAATGAGCACCAAATCACCTGAGCTTATTTAAAACACACACAGAGCTATACTACCAAATCCTGTGGTGCAGGACGTACAGGCTTCCTATCCTACTGATTGAGGTACAGCACAACATTATGGGATGTGGCCACCAGTCTCCATTAGGCACCCTGAGACCTGGGCAATGAGGTTTGCAATCAGTAGCTCAGGGGCAAAGGAGCTGTAAGTGCTGCAGTAAAAGTGATCAAGGAAGTGACTAGTACAGCATAGATCCTTGATATAATAATTGTACACAGTTCAGAAAGCTATGTTAATATTTCAGTGCTGAAAGATAAAGATATGACATGTGACACTGAATATTAATTGTCTCTGAATTTCACATAGTGTACACAGAATTTGAAGTCAAAGTAATTACCTACACTACAAATTCAATTAGCATTCATTTAGAAGAAAACATCTTTTGCTATTTGACAGCATTTAAACTTTCAGTTGCTTGTTCAAAGATAACTAACAGGGAAAAAAAATCTGCTTAGGGAAGATCTGAAAATTTCAAAAGTATTTTGAAATTAAAGTGCCTCCTCTATTTCATTCCTGTGCATATGCTGATTAAAAAAGAAGCGCTGGAACTTTACAATTCCCATTTCGTAGGAATAATTTATTTGCAGGATAGATGAAAATATTAGTATTCAAAGAACATGCCTGAATCAATTATCAGCAACATCAGTTTCTCTGGAGAGGAAAAATAAGTGAATCTGTGCTTCATTTGGGGTTTTAGTATGTTCTAAACTGTAGGTGTCAGTTGGTGACACTTGTAATTATTCGTGTAACACGGTGGAATATTTTGACTTTAATATGTTTGGTGACTGTAACCTTTCCATTAGAAAAGTTGTTGACTGGTTCAGAGTGTCTGGCGGAACAAAAAAAAAAAAAAAAAAAGAGTTAGACAGTAACTCTGATGTATACTAACAAAACAAACCGCTTGTTGTCTGCCAGTAATAATACTAGTATAGCAAAAGGACTGTTTTCTTACCCATACTGCAGCTTAAATTCACTGTCTTCATGGATTTTTCTTTATTTTGAATTTAAACTTCAATATATTTTTTCCTGAAAAAGACTGTTTTTAGAAGGCTTTTATCCTCATAAAAAAATTCCAAAAATTCCTTCCCTTTTTGTCTTAGCCTTGGGGTTTATCTGCGTACCCTTTTAACTTGGAGCATGATTTTAAAGCAGTTAGGGCAGTATGAAATATAACATGCTCTTTATGAGGTTTAAAGATAGCTTATTTCAGTCTAGTATAAAAGAAACAAGAATAAACTGCGTCCGAGCAAAGCCTTTTCCTGAACTAGAATTTCTGCATGCGTTTTTGCAGCAATTAACTTAAACCAGAGTAATTAAAATGGTGTGTTTGTATGTGCAAGTAAGGCTTTACAAAAACAGCCATTGACCTTTTTATTTTGGATGTGGATTTTATAAACCCACTTTCATTAGCATTATGGATATTTCCTTAATTGCATATACAAATATAGAACAAAGTAGGATAATCTAGAAATATAAATAATAGATACTTTTTCTTTTATCTCTCTCTCTCTCTCTCTCTTTCTTTCTTTTGTTTTGTTTTGTTTTTGGCAGGGTGCAGGGGGTTATTTGTAAAAGCTTATTCAAATCCACTTCCCTCACAAAATTCGTAGTTGTTTCCAGGGTATCGCTGCCCCTCTTGCTAAGATGTGGAACTCAGGAATAGAGAAGGGCCCTGGAGCTGGAAGGCTGCAGAATGGCGAAGGAAAGGAAACGCAAGCTCTTACTGGTCCTAAGTTCGGGCAGGTCAGAAAGCAGAGTATATGCAGTCCCTGCGCAACAGTGAATGTGATAAGCCTCTGTTGTTTGAAGTGACTAATGATTAGTTATCTTTAGTAAGACTCAGTATCTCCTCCTGAAATTGCTCATTAAAAAGTTGGCATTGCAACGAAAACATGCAAAATGCTGTCGCTGGATATATCTCATATGTATTACCATGTGCAACATTTACTATAAATGTGCCATCAGAAGAGTGTATATAAAATGGATTTTAAAGTAGCCAAAATTAACACTAGTTACATCATTCGGGCACAATATTAGCTGTGGCATCCTTTTTCATTTTGAGTGCTTTACTAAATATTGATTAAATTGGGATCTTTTCTGATGTGATTATTTTAAACCATTTTCTGTTGTCTGTGACTGTGACGTATTATCAAGGGAATGGAAAAGGAACTGTTCCTCAGCGTTTAACAAACACAAGTCTTGCTAAGTGTGTATATCTGTGTGTATAGGTAGGTGGGAGAGAGAGGGAGAGCTGGCACTTTATTTTCCTTCTGCAGGCTGGCTCTGCAAGAGAGGCACCTGTGTCCAAGAATCCAGGACAGAATAATATTTCTCTTATTTAAATAATTTTTTCTTTATAAAAATATTTAACTCGCATTATTTTTTATCATTCAGTTCTACTTTTCCCAGGCATTATGTACGTTTCTGAGGCGCACTGTGCTGGCAGGCCCTGGGTGCGGGCAGCAGCACAGCGCTGGCCTGGCCACCCAGGACTGCGGTGTGGGGTTGCCATCTGCTGGTAGCCCCCTCCCCAGGCCACAGCAGCAGTGTGCACAGTGACACAGCCCTTTGAGGGCTGCTTAAACAGAAAAGACAATTTTGTATAGTGAGACCTGATTCTTGAGTCCTGGCAAAGCTGCATACTTTATGATCCCAGCAGTCCAATCTAACCTGAACAGTGCAATTGGTGTCATGAATTTTGCGTAGCTGGACAGAGCGAGGGAGGAAGATGTAGTGAGGTCTGTGCATGCTGCTTAGGTAAAGGAAGGTAAAGGAACATAGAGGTGAATTTGGGGAACATGGTCTGAGGTAAAATACATTTTTAATAAAGAATAAACCTGCAATAATAAGAAAGGAATAAAGTTGAAGGAACACCAAAATGTGTGTTTCTATTTGTACGTATTGCTCCCAGGTACTCAGTGATCTGAACAGCAGCCAAAGTGCCAGTGCTCAGTCCTTTTTGAGTATCTCTTGGCTTGTGCTCAGAGGCAGCATGGATTGAGGATAATGAGGCTCTGGTGCCATACTGAGTTTCATATAATTGTAGTAAGGTTCTTTTAAATGGGTAAAGACGTCCCAGAGTGAGGAAACACTCATCAGCTTTTTAAAGCCTAGGAACAGCAAATACATCTTCTTTGAGAGAAATTTAGCAAGTACAGCATATTTAGTTTCTTAAAATACTTTTTTTTGTTGTTCATGCAGTTCCAGTGCCTCAGCTGACTAACACAAAATCTGGATTCCTTGTGAAGTTGAAGTTCCACCATCTGTCACAAGAGGGAACTGTAGCACTGGCCCAGGAGCTGCTGCTCTTCATCTTGCCTTTTCTGTAAGGACTTAGTGTTTACAGACACAAATCTAGCATAGTAAAGCTGTTTTTGTTGTTGCAAATGAGATTTTTTTAGTCTGTGCATGAAAGTACTGTCAAAGCTGTCAAATATCAGAGCATACTGCTGAATGTTTTTGAAAAATTTATTTATGGTTGGATGAAATTTGGACACATTTTAATGGCTTTTCAAGGCTTGTGGAGTTTTTTTTGAATTAATGAGTGATTTGTTCTGGTAACTTTAAAACTGCATATTTTCCCAGAACAGAAAATTAATTTACAAATGAAAAAGTAAACTATGAAAAAGATAATTACAACCATTTCTCATGTTCTCCCCCAAGTAGATGCCCTGCAAAAGGAGATATTTATCTTTACAGATAGTATAGAGTCCAGGCAAATTTATGCATGAGTCACCTGGAAAAGGAGGGAAGAAATGTCTTTTGACTAGTTGTCTGCAAAGTGCAACAGAATGTTAAATTAGTGCCTTCAGGAGCACAGTGTCAGATCTCCCACAAAGACTGTGTAGATTCAGCTCATGTTATGAAATGGTAACTTTGCAGTGTCTGGGTCTTTGCCACTCATTTGAATGCCTTATCCTTTCTGCTGAGTCTCAAATGTATAGCTCGTTTCTCTGCTGACCTTACTGTATTTTGACTTTATCAGAAGTTACTTGTCTTCTGGCCTAAAATTTTGTCCCCGTTCATGAACTGTCAACCTTGTGCAGGCTTGCTTTTTCCAATTTTTAGGAAAATGGAATCCTCATCCATCAGGATAAGAGTAAAGATATCCACAGGGTTTTTGCTGGGGAAGGTGGAGTTAAGGGCACATGACTTTAGGACACAAATATCAGGGTTGGCTTACGCTCAATTGTGTTGCCTTTTTTTTAATACAAGGGAAAATGTAGAACAAACCCACTGAAAAAAATCCTTCATTTTGATCTAAAGAGGCAGTGAAATCATCTTGCTCCATCTTTGTCCAATGTCTATGCTTAATCAAAATGATCAGATCAAGAAATAAATGATGTAAATCTTAGTTAAATGGAGCATTTGTAAAATCTTTCATGATTTATGCTAATGATTTTTTTTGTTGTTGTTGTTCAGTTTGTGTTTTGCCGTTTTATTCCTTACTGGCATGACATGGCAAGACCAAATCAAAACATTTTCAGCTTGTGCATGACTTTGATTTCAGCTGATGTGCCAAGCATACAAGCAAGCATTTGTTTATGAATGCAGAATCTTCGATCTACTCAGTTTTCATCTGGGAAATTCGGAGCTGAACCAAGAACTGGGATATGTACCACAGCTGAGCAATTTACAGTTACTGTTTTTGAGGAGTTTAAACAATAGAACAAACAAAAATGTCATTTAATATTTGGCAGATGCCATCTCTTTGTCTAGGTACTGCTGGGGCATCGTGGCAAAGATCATAGACTTGAGAATAACGATCTCCAGTTATTGGTCTGCTGTAGGTACCCCTTGTTGAAGTGTCCTACGTTGCTCTTGGCCTCCTCCCACTGCTGCCTCTCCAGTTCATCCACACTGAAGGAAGTTTTTGTTGCCCATTTGAGTCTGAATGGTACAAAAGGCTGAAGGGCTAAAGACTTAATCCTGAGTACTAAAGAAAAATAGGGAAGTTGTTTAAACTTTACTTAAAAGAATTATCCCGTTACAAACTACGGAAAGACAGACGTAATGGAGTTACCAGTTTCCCTACCTCTGCTCTTGTGTTGCCCTGAGGAAGGGGGAAGGCCCCACTGCAGTCCTAGTGCTTGTCCTCCTTAGCCCAGGAGTGTAGGGACAGGAGGCATTTGGGGGACTCTCTCCGAGCACCCCTGAGTAGGGAGAGTAATATGCATTCAGGTTTTTCCAGGACAGTTGCACATCGTGAGTTCCCTATTTCAGCTCTATCTTTGCTACCATTAAACTAGTTGCTAGTCTTCAATTTGAGAATTTGAAGAAAAAAAAAAAAAAATTTCCAGAACAGTGAAAATGGCAGGGTGCCTTATATTTTCTTTTTGCCTGCCACCCTGCATCTAGCAGATCTGGACCTAGAGGAAGATTTGTCAGACCAATATCCATGGAAGGCTAAGAGATGTAGGGTCTTGAACGCAGCTGGCTGCTTGAAGATGAGTCATGGCCAGATATTGCAAAAGAGTACAGGGGGTCTGTCTGTCTGTTTGGGTTAGCTTGTGGCTTTTGCCAGCAGAATGGGTTAGTGGAAGAGGTCAGAAATCTGGCATCTGGTCACTGCTGAGCGCTTATTCCGGTCCCCACATCAGAGTCCTCTTCTTTAGGCTGTTTGCTGTGTACAGGGTACGCTACAGATACCTTTTCTTATCCAAGGATGTGGAATGGAAATAACTATTAACTTCATGTTTTTGTGATAGTAGAGAAATCGCATAGAAAATACAGCATGACGAAGCTGGAATTTTAACTAGGGCTTAGCAGCTTGGATAGGAAGTTTCAGTTCAGTGCAAATCTGACCAAGTGACACATTAAATGCCTTTAAATTATGAGGGAAATGCCAAGTTTTCTTCAGCTGTCACAGCAAAAGCCACACCAGCAGGTTGCACTAATGTATAAATCTTAAAATGCATCCTCCAGAAAGCTGACATTTCCCAAGTCATAAATCTCATAGTGATTTATAGTGTATGCAATTGAGTTGGTTTTCCTTCCTGAATAATAATCACTGGAGAGCAAGAAATTCAGCAAAGTTTTTGTATGGAATAACTGAAGTTTGTCCTATTATTGACCCTGAGCTTAGTAGCTTTGGTTGCTGAGCTATTCCTGGGAGGTGTTTAGTATCCTGCATGCCGCTAAGATCAGGGGCAGGCAAAGGTGCACAGCCAGGACTCCAGAGCTACTTTCTGTCTGCAAATATCTGCGCTTAAGTATGTCGGGCTCTTTATTCACGTGTTGCAATTCACCCCATGTGGTGTGGGGCAGGACAGTTGTCAGCAGTCTCAGCAGACTGTAAGGACAGACTGGAAATCCTGTTGGGACTGTGCTGCTCGTTCAGACTATAGCAGTTAAAATGGCTGCAAGACAACACCAGATTTCAAAGCTATCGTTTTATAGGGCAGCTTGCCTTGTCGTGATCTAAAGCTCAGTACTAAGAAATCCAGCTGAGATGGTTTTTCATAAATTATCTATCAGGCAGATTTATTCACAGCACTTATCCCTGTGGCAGTCAAAAAAGGCATTTACTAATCCCTCAGCAGCCATCAAAATGAAACCATACAAAGGCAAAACCCAAATCTTTATCTGACATTATTTTCAGACACCAATGGGGAGCCAATCCAGAAATGAAATTGCACATGTAAATTTGTACATTGATAATGCCATTTCTCTAAGTGCTAATACTCCCCATTATATTTATGGCTTTATTATTAGATATTATTATCAGATATTTCAGTGTTCAACTACAGTGGTGTTCTTGACTATGCTAAGAGAAATACATGTATACCATGAGCCCCAGGAAACTGTGTGGACTTAAACTTGTAATAGGTTAGTAATACAATTTCCTAGTTTCTCAATTTCAAATTTGAAATTGAGAAAAAGACTTTTGATAGCTTTTCAAAAAAGCTATCAAATAAGTTGACAATCGGTCTTTATTTTTGGATGTAACTGTGAGTGGAAGTAATCTCTAGCAACTTTTTATGGGAGCTTAAGACTGGTATAGGGAGATGCCTTTCTTATTAGTCATACAAGGCTATCCATACATATATATTTTCTGTGAATGCAATAATCTATTACAGTCTCAGATATGTTAGTCTGCAGGTCTCAAGAGAGTATGGCAAAGTAATAAAACAGTCCAAGACACACAAGTACGGCTTTTGATTTATTAGTAATTTTTTTAAGGAAAATTGCTTTAAAAGAAAAAAGATTTTTTTTAAAGCAAGTACTAATATTGCAAAACTATAAAGATTATATTATAGAGTTGGAGCTTTCCTTTTGTGAAGATGAGCTGATATTCTCCACAATGTCCCTCTAGTCTATTATAGAGCAATGTAGCCTACATTTATTTATATGAATCATATGGGATTTGGAAAACTGAAAGTATTCCTTTGCTAGTCTACTGAATGCTGCATATAGATTTTCAGATGTTAGAAGTATAGCCAACAAAAGTAGAAATTTAATGGTCTAATACGTGATATCTGCATGCTTGATAAAATTACATAGATAAGAATGTAGTCTAAACATTTTTATACCTTTATTTAAACAATAAATATTGCCGATTTCCATAGGAAAATGGTCAGTATTTTTCAAAGGTGTTCTGAGTATTTGTTGCTTCTTGACCATCATACTATAAATCCCTCAAAATCAGTAAGAGTAGCTTGGCAGGTATATCTGTATTTGTGTTACTAAGCTGATTACATTTGCTCTCCCTGTTGTATTCCTAGCATTCCTCAAAGGGGACTGTACTATGAAGAAATTCTGTATCTGGTACAAAAGGGAAAAATTTGCCTCTTACTGAGGTGATACATGATTGTTTATAGCTAAATCTTTTCCCTAACGTATTGCCTAAGAAAGCAGTCCTAAGTCAGGGAGAGGATATGTGAAGCTAACAAAGCTCAGCTGTTTATGGCTCTGTGATAGTGGGATGGAGCAAAAGCAGTGTGTTTCTACTTACTGTAATAAAATGAGTATACTAAAATAAGACAGTGGGTGGACCGAAGGATTCGGAGATGTGTTATGTTTGTGCCCGCTGTTGTTAAAGGAAAAGAAATTGCCGGCAGCATGTTGTAATACATCTGCAGGCCTTGTGGCCCTGGTGTTAAGTTAGCCCCCTGGAAAGCCCATATAAATCCACTCAAACTTTTACAGAGCTGTACAGATACATTTCTACTAGCGTTTGCTTGATTTTTCTTTTTGTTCTCTTTTGATTGGACTCTGGCTCTAACTGCTGCCTTGACATTCAGTCTCCACACCTGCTCGGCTGCTCGAATGTCAGTGCCCAAGAGGTGTTGAAAGCGGACGCTGCAAGTGGGGCTTTTGCGTGGCCGGGTGCCAGCTGACACTGCAGCAGCAACAGGCCCCCCATGTCTTCCAGGACAGTCCTGGTGCAGAAGCAGTTAAATGGCTTGGACAAAGATGCCGTCACGTCTTCCTAACGATGGCAGGCGTATACAATTCCTTTGTGTGACTGTGGGAATAGCCAAAAGATAGGGATCAGTAGAATAACGCACTTTGTTTTTGTAATATGAGGTAGCCTACTTTTGAACACAGCTAGGGATATTGTTCCTTCAAGGCCTTCACTGAAGCTTTGGCACAAAAAACAATTAAACAGATTGCAGAAGGTTCTTGCCCCTCTCCACAGCTAAGTGTACATGTCACTGTGCTGGTGAACACCATGGATTTATGAACAATTGTATTCATAACTTCCATCCACCCAGTGAATCCAATAGCAGCCTGTCTTTTTTTTCCTTTTCTTTTCTCTTTTCTTTTTTCTCTTTTTTTTTTTTTCTCTTTTTTTCTTTTCTCTCTTTTTTTCTTTTCTCTCTTTTTTTCTTTTCTCTCTTTTTTTCTTTTCTCTCTTTTTTTCTTTTCTCTCTTTTTTTCTTTTCTCTCTTTTTTCCTTTTCTTTTCTCTTTTCTTTTCTCTCTTTTTTTCTTTTCTCTCTTTTTTCTTTTCTCTCTTTTTTTCTTTTCTCTCTTTTTTCTTTTCTCTCTTTTTTTCTTTTCTCTCTTTTTTTCTTTTCTCTCTTTTTTTCTTTTCTCTCTTTTTTTCTTTTCTCTCTTTTTTTCTTTTCTCTCTTTTTTTCTTTTCTCTCTTTTTTTCTTTTCTCTCTTTTTTTCTTTTCTCTCTCTCTGTTTTTTTCTGGCAAATTCCATATTGGTCCTGAGAAGAGAGAATTTAATGTTTCCTAAAACATCAGTACTGTTTTTCCCCTTAAAATTGCTCTCTCTTCCGGAAAGACTCACAGCCATGCTCAGTTTCTTCTTCTAATTTTGGCACTAATTCACTTAAAGCACTGACGAAATTTCAAGCATTTAAAGTGCATTTCTAACTTTGAACAGTTAATAGTACTGAAGTCAACAAAGCTGTTCAAAGGATTGCTTTAAGGGAGAAAAAACTGTGGAGCACCTCAGTGAACTGAAGGCTTACAAAAAAGATACTCATTCAGCATCTGTTATTTGACTGATCACAATTAACCATCGCAGTGTAAATCTGAATTTTGAGCATTTCATCATCCCAGCACAAACATAGAGAAGAAGAAAACACAAATTACAATGTAATTTGAAACACAACTTAAGGTTGAAGAAATTATTTTTCTTATGTATTCTTCTTCAGCAGACAAAAAAGTAGACAGTTAGTTATTTGCCATGAATCACTTTCTGAGATTTTTCTTAAGCATTCTATATTGTCCTTGTTTTTTATGTTTTGAAACGGTCCCCCTGCTTTTTTTGCCTGTTGAACTGCGATCTATTGTAGAATTTGTCTACTGTTCATTCTTCCATTCCAGACAGATGTGGTATTTAAAGTAATGTCTATATTAAATTGTCATACTACATTTTTATGCAGTTACAACTTCTATATCCTTAAACCTCACATTCTAGACTTGTGGAACAATACTTATTTTGTACTATGCTTGCAGCTAAATGAGGGTAGTAGTTATCAAAACTCTTGCAAACAGCAATGACCCTCTGTCCTTGCTTAAAGCAACTAGGCCTGGAAAGATCCCAATTTGCGAAGGTCAAACTATCTTGTTAGGAATACATGGTTCCTGGTAGAAATTATTTCCATTAGATCAGATGTATATATATAATTAGCAGAACCACAACAGATAGGATTCTTACGGCAACAGCTATGCAGCCAATGAAGTTATTGCATCGGAGAGTTTTTTTTTTTTTTTTAAATAAATGTATTACGCAGGGAACAGAATCATATTTCTTCTTACAACAGATTGGATCCTATCCCAAAAAGTCTATTGTTCCATACCAAAGCTAGAAAAAGAAAGGAAAGCTTGCATTTTATTCTTGTGTCTCAGAATTACATAATATACTGAATCGTGCATGGCACAGTAAAATGCTATGTAGCCATGAGTTCTATTGTATATCCATTTTGGATGAGCAATAACCAAATCGGTTTCTTTATGCAGTGCTTGTGGAAAGATGAGCATTTTTAAGGAGAATTGTCTTGCTTAAGAATGCAGAAGATTGGCAAGAGCCAGCAGTGGAGAAAGACATATATGTAGGCATATCCAGTACCAGAAAACTTCAGTTCTCAAAGAACTTGCTCTTTCAGTTATTAGCATAATCATTTGATTAAAATGATCTCTAGAAACCAGTGGAAGTCTTCTGACTAGTTTGAGGAATTTTATTCTTTGAGGGGACTAGATGAGCCTGTATTGTGAAATACACGCAGTTGTGTAGATTCAGTGAGTACTATCATAGCCTCCAGGAAACCACCAGTGAAAAGTTCTATGACAGCTTTACAGTGAAAGTAGCAGATGTCAGAAATTCTACTGATTTTAAGATGATGCTAAAGCTTATAAAAAAAAAAAAAAAAAAGATGTTACCACAGGACACAGGCTCCTCCTGTTACAGCAGGAGAGGAGCTTGCAGTCCCGTGAAATCCTTTCCAGTGCTGTGCTCCTGCTGTAGGAAGTGAGAGTCTGATCCTTCCTTCAGCTCACTCAAAGATAAACTCCCTGCTGCCAGCAGAGACTTGTGTGGAGCTAATGTAAGTGGGAAGACAAAGCTCTGTTTCTGTTGTTTCTGCAGAACTGAAAAAAGCACTTGTTTTGAAGTATCTCATCATACATACAGAAACACAAGAACCTGGAAACAGAGAGTACAAACTGACTGAGGCACAGGTGGGTTTCAATGTTTCTGTTAAGTCCTTTCAAAATTATCTCAGGCATGTGCAAAAGGGAAATAATTTATTCACTGAAGTCTTGTCATCATGTACAGGTAGTACCTTCTCTCCTTTCTGACAGTAATGGTGGAGAAGGTAGTGCTGCTGTGGCTAATTTTGCAGTCTTTATGAAGAGAAAAATAAGGTTTAATAGAAAAGATCTAAAACAGGTTTGAATTGCAAAAGAAATGGATGATAGCTGTATCAGTGGAGAATGTCTGACCAAAATTACACTTATCATAGATAAGGACACTTCACTCTGTTCAGCTCTATTGTTTGGAGGAGTGCAACTAGATAATAGACATACAATGGAAAAGAGCAGAACTGGGGCCAAGTCCCCGTTGCTGCCTCTGAGGTGCAGGCAGATCCTTGGTTGTGTCATGGAATTTTTTTAAGATGTTAGCAAATTGTACCTGGAAGGATGCAACAGTTGAGAAGTGACTGGCAATGTTTTTCCTGGAGAAAACACTGCATAATTTGTAGCAGATCTGCAGAGCTTTTTTATTATTATTATTTTTCTCCTCCAGTTTCCCAAATATATCTGCAAGCCCCTTGAGGAATGAAAAAGAACAAAGCCCGAAACAGTGGACAAATAACAGCATGATCACTTGAATTTTCTGATTATTTATTAAAAAAAAAAAAAAATCTGCTTTTGCAGCAGTTTTCACTTATTTTCAGTAAACTTTGCTTGAAAACGCTGGCATCACATCTTTAAACTGAGGCAATTTTATTTATTTTTCAGTTTTATGGAAAACAAAAATGGTTTATTATTATTATTAATGGTCAGTAAATAACTGGGAAACCCTGCTTCCCTATACCAACCACTATGAATCTAATGCAATACTGCATATGACCTATTTTATGTCCATGGAATTCTGGTAAATTTATTAGGATTACAGCAATCTAAAACTGAGTAAAGTAGTGATGGATCCGTTTAATATATGTTGAACAAATGAGTGACAGAAGGAGAAATCAGAAAATAAAATACTGAACACAGAAATTGATGGAAGCTTCATTAGGTGATGTGACTTGACCTCAATTATTTTTCTTGTAATCATCATAGGATTCGTGCTAAACTCAAAAGATGAAAAAAAATGGGGACTGTTTATAGTACGCAATGAAACCTATCTATACAAAGCTAAATTCATCATTGATGTAAAACAACTGGCTTCAGTAAAGTTTTGCCAGAGTAGAATGCTGCTCAATCACTTTGTGTATGTTAGCACGGTTTCTAAGATACTCGTCACAGCAATACAAATAATTGTATTTAAAATATTCCACTGCCATCCTTTTCTTCCCCCCTTCATTCCAGCTGAAAGTATTTTGCAGATGGATACAAAATATGTGTAGCTTGGGGCCCGCAGTTTCCCTTCTTGCATATTTTTCCTATAATAATAACCAGATATTTAATTGCCTTTCATATGGGTATTTTGAAGGCCACCTCTCCCAGCTGTTTTGTAGATGTAACATTCAACCTGTGTCTGCACCCTTCTGCCCTGCCTCTGCAGTCAGCGGGCTCTGGGAGAGGGCAGGGATCCCTGGAAAACAGCACTTACGTTGAGCAACAAAATCTCCCTTGGTAGGGACTGGGATTGCATTTCCGTTTTAACCGGCTCTAGTCTGGTTTTAAAAAATTAAATTAACATTAAATTAAAATTCAACACTTGGGTTAGGAACTTGCTTTAGAAGAAGTTAGATCGTGTTGGTTTGAAGAGGCAGCATTTTTCCGCCTTGCACTCTAGAGTCTAACTTTTGGAGTTAGACTTTTAGAGTTAGACTCTGGAGTCTAACTTTCTTTTTCTGCAGGCTCTAAGGAAGATGTGGTCTCCACAGACGTTGTAAAAGAGGAACCAATTCTGACGCAAGATGATAATTGAAATTAAATTGGTTTTATGTAAACTTTTTCATCATTAATCAATAAGCGCATGACAAAGGAAAAATCTTTTTTTAGATTTGCACAATGTGTTTCTGAGCACTGTCTCATCTTCCTCTGGGAGAACATGATGAATTCTTCTGAACTATGCAAGCATCCAGATTAGATCACATCAAAACATCCTGTGCACCTGTTATATGTAATGGCCTTTGATCAACAATTTGTGTTCTTCTAAATTTCAAAAACATGCAAGAAGAATCCCCGTTTCACTTAATATCTAGACACAGCTCTGAAACGAGCTTGCTGAAAGTTGGGCAAAATGTCCTGCCGTGGCTGACGAAAAGCGTTTGGTTAACGTTTTTTTGCTAATGTATGATGCGAGCTGTGTGTTCCTCTGAATGTTGTGTACAGGATTTTGTTTCCCTAATAAACTTTGAGTGGGTTTCTCATGTTTACTGGTCAAAAACTGTGGCCAGTGTCATGCCAAGCGATCTCTAACATGGAGCTCCCCTTTCATGTGATACGAGCTAGTGTGCAGTATGTCTTTTTGGCACAAAGCTGGCACTAGTCTCCATGTTTTTTCTCTCCCATGTTAGAGACTGCATTTTGCAGTGATTTTTATTAACTCCTGTGCATATTTATGACAAAATCAGTCTCAGATTATTTTGAGAAATTGCCCTTCCATGAATTTTCTTAGCTACTACCCACAGAAGTAAGGAAAACATGTGACTGTACACAATAGCCTTTCGGGGGAAGATACTGTATCTCTGTTTTGGGGAGTGCAACACAACTGCTGATGCTTAGCAAATCACTAATAACATTAACAGAAATGCATATGCTAGTATTACTGAACAAGACTTGGCTTGTTTTTTTGATAGGAGATGGAAGAGAGAGGACCTGGGAAATTAAGAACAAGCTGGATCCCTGTCATGCTATAAATAGATGGATGCACATTAATATTACAGAAAGAAACACACAAACTTACCCTACAGTGTTTTATAGCTGTTACGAGACCATGAAGCAACTTCTGCCCTTGTCTCATTGCCCCTTTTAGAAGAAATGACCCCTCTTTATTCAGCTTTCTTTAAAATAGACATGCCGCTAGGGGAATAGGAAGAGGTAACCTTGAATACCTTGAACTCCTGCCTTCTAAACAATTGAATGCATATAGCCAAAAACTGGCATCAGTGACTAAGGCAGCTGCAGCACATTCCAAATATTGCTCTATTTAAAGCATCCTAAAGCTCACAAGAACAACTGCAGAGACAAACCCTAAAACCTGTCAATAAATCCAGCAGAGAGAAGAATGGCAGAACCAGGTAAGATGAACGCTTAAATGTTAATGTAACAATGTATTCTTAAAATGCATAAATATGAGTAATGTAACATGAAAATACTTAATTATTTGTAAGGTGCTAGTTCCTACATTATACCCTATATGTTTTACTTTTCAGTAAAAAAGTACGATCAGTTTAAAAGCTAATTTTATTAAAAGCAATGAGTTTAAAGCAGCTTGGTTCTGCACCTGCACTTCTGAAGAAGGAACCAAGTTTTGGTTTTGTTTTTTGTAGTTGTGATTTTAAAATCATTTTTCATGATTAGTTTTTGAAGTTTTTCTCCTTCTGAGAGACAGAGAGGTGATTGACTGCATGGATTAAACCCTGAAAATGAGTGTGTGTCACCTATTGGCAAACATATAGCATAAACTTGCATTAAAACACTGAAAAACAGAGAATGTTTTTTGTGAGGTTATCTTCAGATACCTTAAAAATAACAACTGCAGTTGGTCAGATTGCCTTTAAGTTGACTAACACAAACAAACTGGTCTGTGTAAAATGAATTACGCTTGACAGTATTAAATATACTGTCTGTGTAGCTGAAATCTGAGAATAATGCTAGATGAACCCTTACATTTTAAACCTACAAAGCTCAAGTGGCAGGGCAAAACAAAACTTGAACTTTTTGTTATAAGCACGTTTTTCACTGAAAAGAAAAAATATATTTTATAAAAATGCATTTTATATTCACTCTCACTTTCTATTTACCTCACTCGAAGGTTTGGATGGTAAAATGATGCTTAAATACGGTGTTAGCTGTGTTCACAGTTATTCAGGTAGCACTTTTCCACATGGAAGTAACTGATGTAAAAGCTTTATACATCTTCATAGGCACACTAAAAGCTTCTAAAAATTCATATCTCCCTTTTCTTGAACAGTTACCACTGGTATCTGAGAAGTACAGTGGAATTCTACTGAACTTGGATAGAATTGGATCCTGAACGCTGACTTTCAATTTTAGTTTCCATGGCTATCTATGGAAATTATACTAGTCTTGATATTCCACTGTGCATTAGTACTTAACCACGTGCCTCCATAGGGATAGCAATATTTTGCGTTGGTAGGATGTGTATCATTAATTCTGCGTTTAAAAACAAAACAACAACAAAAAATCACTGTGGCCGCAATTGTATAGATGGACAAGGTGGGAGCCAGCTGGGGTGCTGGGGCGACAGCGGGTACAATGCCCGGCAGGTAGACTTTGTTGTCTCCAGACACGCGTGCGATCGGTGAGGCTCCTGCGTGCCCTGCACAGAGGGACAAAACGCCTCTGCGGTTACGCCAGACGTGCTTCGGCAGCGCTGAAGTAACTAAGCACTGGGACTAAGCGCCAGGATTAAATGATTTTAAATATGAAGCTGGCAAATGCTGTCACCACAAAGCCCATCCATGTTAGTTCTTATATTTTAGAACACCACACTTTGTACTTAGGGAACAAGAAAAAAGTTGTTAGTTGGGGATGATAGCTGGGACTTGGGCAGCTAGAGTTTCTGACGTGGAAATATGGGAGGCAATTTCCTGTCACCATCATTATCACAGAATTTGTTCCTAAAAAGCAGATGTGTATTATAGTTCTAATCCCTGTGCGGCATATTCATGAACACAGATTTATAAAGTGTATCATCTTATTTAAACCATGGCGTCTAAATGCCTGAACCCAGCAGTCGTTTTGGCCTGAGCTAACTAAACCAACAGATGGATTTTGTGTTTTTTGTTTTTTTGTTTTTTTTAAGAGCGATCATTGTCTTGAGCAAACACTTCATTTGGTAGACCGCTGTCACTTAATTGAATGGACGTATTTTAAAGGTTTTAATTTTCTCTTCACATCAGGACCCCTCAGTCTATTTTTTTCTTCTTGGAGTGGCTTTTCGATATCACTCTCAGTATTTTTTTTTTTTTTTACAAATTTAAACGATGATATTGTCTAAAAAACCAAGAAAATAATGCAGTTTACACTGCATCATATATTCAGTATATTTTGAGTATGCATGTGAATATTTTATATACATTATGGGGGAAGATACATACAAAGATAAGTAGAGGGGATTTGCTGCAAGAATTTGTGATGGACTATTTCTCTTCAAAGTGCCTCCCACAGGCACATAAAACCCCAGAAGAGACCAGGGCACCCTTTACCCCCACCCGCAGGATGAGCTTGCTGCTGCCGGAAGCAGGTAGCCCTGAAGGGTGATGTGGGAGATGGGGGCACCTCTGCACGGTCACACGTCCACTGCCAGGCTTCTGCTGATGAGGAGATGTCCAAACTGCTATCCAAGGGGCACGTTAGGAGTTTGGTGGTGTATGTGTGCACATGTTGCTGATATGAGGTAAAATACAAGGAAAACTACAGCAAAATTCTGAGGTGTTTTGGAGTAGGGAACTTAAGATTGTGAGAGCAAGCTAGACAAGCTTGTGCAAGGGAAAAACTAAGTTCTTCACCCGCCAAGTCATTATGTTTCAAGTAAGTAGTAGTCTTTCTGTCCAGTACCTTGGGGCAACTCTTTTACTTGACCTTTTTGGTGTAGTCAGGATCAGACGTTTCAGAGGTGAAGGTAGCTCAGTGAGACAGAATCACAGAATCGTTTAGGTTGGATGGGACCTCTGGAGATCATCTAGTCCAACCTCCCTGCTCAAGCAGGGTCCTCTAGAGCATGTTTCCCAGGATCACATCCAGACGGTTTTTGAATATCTCCAGGGAAGGAGACTCCACTACCTCTCTGGGCAACCTGTTCCAATGCTCTGTCACCCTCACAGTGAAGAAGTTTTTCCTCAGGTTCAGATGGAACTTCCTGTGGTTCAGTTTCTGCCCATTGCCTCTTGTCCTGT